CGTTTCGATTGATAAAGTGGTTGTGTAACGATCGTAATTTTAAAAATTGTCATTTTTTTTGCACACCACTGTATATTATACATATATTTAAGAAAAAATTGTACAATATATACATTACTAACTGTACTATACAGGTTTGTATAATACCCTAATTAGTCTAGAGTAAAGCAAAGAATTATATCTATCTATATAATATAATACAAATATTATATTATCTGTTTACTTAAAATTTAAGTCAATATGTGATTAGTCTCTTTTATTATATATATGCTTTAGATTTAATATCATATAGCCTTAAAAATAAGCATCAAGTGATATATATGAATTTATTAGTATATGTGACTAATAATATAATAAATTTTATGTGACAAATAAATAAATTATTATAAAAAAAAGTGTTATGAGATGCTTATTTTTGAGAATATATGATAATAGTTTTTGAAACTATTTCTTAGTTTAATCTATTAAATTACTAGATAATCACCTTATGAAATAAAGATCCTATTTGATGATAAAGATAGTATTTATTATAGATCTATTAATAAAAATTAAATTTTTAATTTTATTATTTATAAACTTAATAATTAGATATAATTAATATTGATTGATGAATTAATTAACAGTTTTAATATATATATTATATATATATTTAGTTATAATAAAATTCTTATAATAATTATATTATTTTATGTCTTAAATAAGACTTAAATTTATAATATAATTTATAAAAGAAATTAGTTATTATTAATTAAACTAAAAATACTAATTATAATTATAATTTTTATTATATTTAAGTAATAAATAGCTATTATATATTACTTGTATTACTTATTTAATTCTTAAATTATAATTAAAATTTTCTTATAAAAATTAATTAAATTTATTTACTTTTTTTTTTAATAATTTAGCTAAAAATTAACTTATTATTATTTTTTTTATTAATAATTAAAATAATAAAAAATAATTTTATTTTTACTCTTTTAATAATAAAAAAAAGGAAATTTCTTAAAAATAAAAAATAAAAGAGATATTAATATATAAATAACTTTATAATTATAAATAAAATTTAAATGACTTTTAATCATAAAAAAAGATATAAAAATCTAAAAATAATAATTAAATACTAATATTAGATAATAGTATCTATTATTAAATAATTAATAAATAAAATGAGTAATTTAATATAAGCTAATAATATATATATATTTTTAAAATTTAGATATCTTTAAAATTAATTTATAAAATATATATAAAATTTTTTTTTGAAATTTAAATTGCATATTTTTAATTATATATTATTAATAAAAGCTATAAATATTTATTTTAGAGCTAATTAGTTATAAGATTTAAAAATAAAATTAAAAAAATTCAAATCTATTACTATTTTATAATAAAGTAGCAAATCATAAATATATATAAAATATATAATAAATATATTTTTAATAATCTAATATAAATTATATTAGCAATTATATAAAAAAATATTAATATATATATATATAAACTTATTAATAATTTAATTTGAAAACTTTAAGTATAAAAGATATATTATTATTAATTATATTTGTAAATTTATGAAATCTATATATTTTTCGCTTAAAATATATTATATTTTTAAAAATGAATATTACATTAGAAATATTATTTAATGCTACTTACTTACTCTTTATTTTTATTAAGTATTTTAGAATTTATTTATATTAATAAGAAAAAAAAAAAAAAAAATACTATATTAATTAGATTAAAGGAAAAAAAAAATCATTATATATGATATTGGATATGTCGACAAATCAGAATGAAGGATGTTAAATGATCAGATGAGAACAATTCACGAGAACCCCCCTTTATACGTGACCAAAAAAATTTTGGTATAAAATAAATATATTCAACCTGAACAGGAAAAAAGAAAAGAAACCTCATCAGATCCCTCACCGTCTTATTTCACATCATACATAAAAATGGGTTCACACGACTATGACACACAACGAACAAATCTGGCAGGAGTCGGGCATAAGAGTAATCACGCTGCCACAGAAGTAGCAGAGACAGAAGAAGTAAAGCATCTGAAATCTCAGTATAAAAAAGAATTATCAACACTGCTAGAATTATTTCCTAATTGGACAGAGGCAGATTTGCTCTTTGCCTTGCAAGAATCTAAGGGAGAACTCGAAGCTACAATTACTCGAATCACTGAAGGTTTGTTTTTTCAGGTTACATTTTTCTCGGAAATATGGTTTTATACTATGGTTACAAAAGTAGTCGGTTTCTTGCTTAGATGAGGTCATTTTAATGCTTAATAAATTAAAATTTTTACTA